TTGGCCAGGATGGTCTCGATCTCTTGACCTCGTGATCCGCCCGCCTCAGCCTCCCAAAGTGCTGGGATTACAAGCGTGAGCCACTGGGCTGGGCCAGATTTCTTAAGAACAGTTGAAAATGTGCTTTTCAAATGAGGCTGTGCTTGTTTGCCTCTTGTTTACCATGAAGGCTGATTATAGTCCATATTGTAAGGATTGATCTGGTAGGGAAGTTCATCATGAACTGAAACTTTACCCAAAACTTTGAATACGTGAGGCAGTAGTTTCAAGGGAAATGTACAAAAGTCAGGTTTCTGAAAAAAAAATTTTTTAATTCTTAAATAGAGATGACGTCTCATGATATCGCCCAGGTTGTTTTTTTAACTGCTGACCTCAAGCAATCCTCCCACCTTGGCCTCCCAAAGTGCTTGGGATTATAGGCGTGAACCACCACACCCAGCCAAAAGTCAGTTTTAAAACTTAAATTACATTATTTGAGAGTAGGTATGTTTTCAATTTGATTCTTACAGGTGACCTAAGGGATCTGGAAAAGAGGTAAAACTTTATATGGCAAAGGTCTGGCATGCCCAAGGACAGACTTGATTCAGAGGCCTGCTTGTCAACTGCTATAAACGGCCACTGTAAGCATACTAACATCTGTGGCCTAAGTCAGAGACTTGGCCAGCAGGGCTAAGGAGTACTCTGGGTGCTTCAAACTTAGGGGGATGGAAGCGAGGCAGGTGAGCAGAAGAATAGAGCCTGGGAGTTATTTAGCAAGTTCTGTAGCACTATGGAGTAGGTTTTTGACTAAACATAAGAAGGAATGCTAAACTTTTAGTCATAGTTGGTGCTTCCTGAGTGAGGATACAAATGCTGACTGAGCTCTAATCATTTCACAACTTTACCCATGTTTGTCTCATCTGGAGGGTTACATGCTACAGTATGAGAAAGTTCATTTAACTGACTGGGGGACACTGAGTTGGTGATGGCCTGGATGCTGAGGGAATTTTGCCAGTATTCCCTTTTAGACAGTTCTTTAAGGTCCAAATACAGAATTGAATTATTTGCTTATTTGGTGGTTAAGACTATCATGTCAGGTGATTGGATTTTTGCTTGAATACCTTCCGAGAGTAAAATGTCTGCTTCAACCCTTTTTTGCCGGTGAGTCGGAGAGGTGACAATGGGTTCAAGCTCCAACGAGCTCACCGAGAGGGGCTTCCTAGCAGCTGAGCACCAAAAGCAGCTGCCGGGTCCCAGGACTGAAACACAAAGCCGCTAGCACTGCTGTGCAGCGAGCCTAGAGTAAAATGTCTAGGCAAAATGTCTGCTAGTGAAGCTCAGATGTTTCATGTGCTGTAGCTGCAGTCACTCAGAACCTAGTGGTTTTCTTCGTTTTGTCTTGATCACATTCTAAAACGAAAAATATGTTTAGTCCTTGTGTATTACCTCTGCATGGTTGGGATTATGGGAAAAAGGACAAAAACAAGATGATTATTAAGTGGAACAAAAAAGCAGCCGCTAAAGCAGCTGGTAGCATCCATTGTAGCTTTGACTGTGGTGCTTAAGTGAGTCCCACTTACTTGATTATATGCCCCTTGGGTCCTCCTATTCGAATTCCAAGGGTATCCCTTGTGGAGTTCACAGGCTCACTGAGTTTGCTGGGCTTGCAGTGAGCAAAAATGGAATTGTCAGTATATTCAGTTGAGCAGGGCCAAAAGTCAGGGTTTGTGACTTCTTTAGGAAATGGAATCTTAGGAAATGTGGTGGCAGCTCTTGTGCTCTGGGAAACGCACCTTAGACCTTTTCTGTTGAGCTATCTTATGTCTCCTCCAGAGTCCATGGCTACTTCTTGTGTCTTGCTCTCTTTATTCCTATTCTTTGGCCTGACTGACCTTGACAGATAAGCATAAGATCAGTAGAGTGGTTGGTATCCCTTTGCAATCACATCTCAGTTAATGGTTTGAGGTATTTTTAAAGGCTGTGTTTCGCCAGTGTTAACTTAGCAGAAGGAAGGAAGCTCTTATAAGAAAACATGCCAGAGCTGGAGTCACAGTTATGATCAAATGAAGTCTCTGACCTTGAAGCTTTATCTTTGTTTGCAGATATCTCACAAATGGACATGTGAAAATTTAAGCCAAACAAGCAGATATTTCATAGGAGTCATCAAGAATTCATTTGGAAGAAAAGTACTTACAATGAGATGTGAAGGCTCTACCATATCTGTTGTGATCTTACTAATAGCTGGTGTTAAAATCAGCTTCTGGTGACTACTTGAGCTTTTCTTTCTTTGAGGACAGCCATTGTTGCAGGCTCCCTCTGGCTTTCAGAATTATAAATATACAGTGCTTAAGGAAAAAGGGAAGTACTTAAAACTTCTAAGTAATCCATGTGCTTTTAGTGAATATATTTAGTCTTTGTAGCAGATTGACCAGATTTACAGGTTTTAGAGGTTAAGTACGTAAGTTTTTAGTCTTGAAGAAAAGACTAAATGCATATTGTCTATACCAATGCATTTGAAGAGCAGGTTTCCCCTCAGTTTCAAATCAACTTAGAATGTCTCAACTGACATTTCTAAATGATCTACATATAAACTGCTTTTCAATAACTACTTCTCATTTTTGGAATAATTTTTTAGGGCTAAATGAGTTTGGAACTAATACTGAAAAAATGTATTTCAGCTGAGATCTGTATCTGTGGACCTGAATGTTGATCCCTCGCTCCAGATTGACATACCAGATGCGCTCAGTGAGAGAGATAAGGTCAAATTTACAGTGCACACAAAGGTAAGTAATATACAGTGGTAATACATACAGTGCTGGGTTGCAGCCTTGTTATTCACAGTGGATTTAAGAGGTTCCCTGAGCTTGAAACAGTTGGTGTTTACAGGGTAGCACTATTGTTAAGTGAGAACCTCCCTAATTTATCTCACAGTACACATCAGGTGAGTGCCATTGCGGGAGCAGCATTCTGCTGGGGCAGAGCCCTAGGCTGTAGGCATTGCCGATCTTGTGTGGCCTATACTGTGCTTCATGAGGAAGTGTGCCAGCCAAAGTGATGCAGCTCACATCTTCCACCTTAGTGTGTGGTGTTTTGTTGTTGTTGTTGTTTAAAAGATTGTCTCATTCTGTTGCCCAGGCTGGAATGAAGTGGCAACATCTCACTGCAGTCCATGCCTCCCAGGTTCAAGTGATTCTCGTGCTTTGGGCACCAGAGTAGCTGAGATTACAGGTGTATACCACTGTGCCCGGCTAGTTTTTGTATTTTTAGTAGAGATGCAGTTTCACCATGTTGGCCAGGCTGGTCTCAAAAACTCCTGACCTCAGGTGATGCACCCGCCTCAACTTCCCCAAAGTGCTGGGATTGAAAGCGGAAGCCAGAGCTACTACGCCTGACCCCAACTTTGTTTTTAATTTGCATCCAAGGGAAGTTTCTCTCTGTAGCTTGTTTTTTCAGTATTTACTAAATTGGGAAGGACCTTTCCCACGTGTTTTTTTTCTTAATGCCTGGGTGGCTTGAATAGCATACTTCAGTCATTCTGAGGCAGTCTAAAGACTGGTGACATAATTTGCTGCCTGAGCTTACCAGATCAGAGAAGGTAAAATCAGCATTGACTGGAGTAAAAGGAAGGAAGTCAGGGACAATTTTTAGAACTGTAAAGTTAAAGCTAAGAGGGTTTTTTTCTGTTTTGTTTTAATTTACTTTTCTTTTTTGTCATAAGTTGGGGGTAAATTCAGGCCTTTTTTTTTTTTTTTTTTTTTTTTTTTTTTTTTTTTTTTTTTTTTTTTTTTTTGAGATGGACCCTTGCTCTGTCACTCAAGCTGGGCTGCAATGGTGTGATCTCAGCTTTGCCTGCCAGGTTCAAGCGATTCTCCTGCCTCAGCCTCCTGAGTAGCTGGAATTACAGACATCTGCCAGCATGCCTCACTGATATTTTATTTCTACTAGAGATGGGGTTTCACCATGTTGGTCAGGCTGGTCCCGAACTCCTAACCTTGTGAACGGCCTGCCTCAGCCTCCCAAAGTGCTGGGATTACAGGCATGAGTCACTGTGCCCGGCCAAATTCAGATTTATAAAAGTAGAATTTGGGGCTGGGTTGGGTGGCTTGCACCTGTAATCCTAGCACCTCAGGAGGCCAAAACAGGCAGATCACTTGAGCTTGGGCAACATGCCAAAAAACCTGTCTCTTTCAAAAATATAAAAAGTAGCTGGATGTGGTAGCGTGCACCTGTAGTTCCAGCTACTGAGGAGGCTGAGGTGGGAGGATGGCTTGAGAGCCTGGAAGGCAGAGGTTGCAGTGAGTCAGCATTGTACCACTGTGCTCCAGCCTGGATGACAGCCAGACCCTGTCCCAAAAATTATGTAAACAAAAAAAAATACACAAAAACAAACAAAAAAATAGGGTGGTGATTTACCTTCCTGGAACTGAACTACTTCTACCAGTAGATTCTTTGATTGGATATTCATTACAAGCTTCAGTAAGGTGGAATTTGGGGGGGAATCCGTAGAGTTCAGATTGAATCTTAGCTATGCCTTTCATGACGGGAGATCATGTATTACTGCTTTCTCGTTTACTGGATCATATTATGGTGTATTATGCAGAATTTTCCCACTGTGCAGCCCAGGAAACTTAAGTCACTTATCAACAAGTGGTGGTTACCAGTTAACATCTTTCTTTCTTTACAGACCACGCTGCCCACGTTTCAGAGCCCAGAGTTTTCTGTTACAAGGCAACATGAAGACTTTGTGTGGCTACATGACACTCTTATTGAAACAACAGACTATGCTGGGCTTATTGTGAGTGTGTTAGAAAACTAAATAAGCTAGTTCTGCCTTGCTGTTCATTTAGTTTAAAGAGACTTATATCCACTTTTTTTTTTATAATAGATTGTGAAAAGTTTAATTTCATCTACCTACTGGAGCATTTGCTAACTATTGGTCAAGTGGAAAATATGTGAAGGAATAGTGTTACAGCTTTGCGGTGATGCATACAGGCTTACATTATTTATGTTGTAAAAGGGTGTAAACAGTGTAATGACTTTACACTGTTGATGTAAATAAATGACTTTACAACATACCATAGAAAAACCAAACCTAAAGGTAAATAAGACTTCTTATAAATAAGACTTCTTAGAAGAATTATAAATAAGACATTATTTATAATTCTTCTAAGAAGTCTTTTTATAATGGTATGTTGTTTCCAACGTCAGTAGAATTGATTTCTGGGAAACATTAGTATTGGTAATAGTATGTGATAAGATTTCTCAAAAAGTGCTGAAGAAGGGCATGCCTGTAATCCTAGGGCTTTGGGAAGCCAAGGTGGTTGGATCACCTAAGCTCAGGGTTTCAAGACCTGCCTGAGCAACATACTGAGATCTGTCTGTACCAAAAATATAGCTGAGTGTGGTGGTGCATGCCTGTAGTCCCAGCTACTGGGGAGGCTGAGGCACAGAATCACTTGAACCTGGGAGGCAGAGGTTGCAGTGAGCCAAGGTCACGCCACTTCCCGCCAGCCTGGGTGCCAGAATGATATTCTGTTTTCCCAAAAACTTTTGTCCTTGATCATTAATTCTTGGCTACAGGAACAGAGACTTAGCTGATTGTAAAGGAGATTTCCATGGATTTTGTCCTGCCAGGCAGACTGAAGAATCTGTCCAAATGATGATTTCTTAATAATTGAATGAAACTAGTACGAAGCTTATATTTAGATATGTTCTGTTCATTCAAAATTAGAGCTCTTGATTATCCTTAGGGATTAGGAAAAAATCCCTTTGGAATACTAGAGACTTTATAATCTTGATGGCTAATTGTTGGTGTTTAGCATTAATTATACTAGTTTTAGGCCAACATTGAAGCAGTGTAGACATTGTTGTGCTCTGAACGATTGTCTGTAATGGATAAACTGACCAAATGATTGCCATCAAAGTCGAATACGCAACTCTCAGGAAGACACTTCCTTTTAAATGGCCAGAAGAAATAAGGCTAAGAAAAAAACAGGAGTTGACTTTCAAATAGCCCCACAGGAGTGGAGTGGTTGTTTCCTATGGACCAGCAAGAGTAGAAATGAGGCACCAACTAGAAAACCTCGCTGCTGGGACAAGAGGCTTATGAATTCCTGCCTCTGCTGCAGATTCCGCCTGCTCCTACAAAGCCTGACTTCGATGGTCCTCGAGAGAAGATGCAGAAACTAGGAGAAGGTGAAGGGTCTATGACCAAAGAAGAATTTGCCAAGATGAAACAAGAACTGGAAGCGTAAGTGGATTTTCTTGGTGGACTCTGTCTTTTGAGAAGTAGAAAATTGGTGCTGTGTACAGAAATAAGCAGAAGAACCTGACTTAATTTTGTTTAAGTGTAGGTGTTAATTAGGTCCCTAGTGTCCTTTTCTAAAACTAGTAGTATATCTTGCATAGTGTGGGACATGGTGTTTGTACTTCACACATTGATTCATTGGAGGCCATTGGCACTAATACCTGATAGACTAGTTGTTTTTTCTCATATGTAGAGCATACTTATTAGGGATGCTAGTCTGGCACAGTGAGGAAATAAACTTTTATGTCTTTATAAATTGCTCAAAATCTACAAAGCTTTTCTTTCTGAAGCTTGGTTACCAGAATTTTAGAAGAAACTACAGGAGAATGTAATGAAAGCTGTTACATGAGGTTTTTTTTGAGACAGAGTCTGGCTGTGCTGCCCAGGCTGGAGTACAGTGGTGAGATCTCAGCTCACTGTAACCTCTGCCTCCCGGGTTCAAGCTATTCTCCTGCCTCAGCCTCCAGAGTAGCTGGATTTTTGTAGCAACAGGGTTTCACCGTGATGTCCAGGCTGGTTTTGAATTCCTGATGTCAGGTAATTCGCCTGTCTGCCGGCCTCAGCCTCCCAAAAATGTTGGAATTATGGGCATGAGCCACCATGCCCAACCTGTCATTTAATTTTTTTCAAACAAAAATAGATTATTGGAAAGTTTCTTTAGAATCTATCCTTGCACTTCCTCATCTCAGCTGAAAAGTACTCACCCCTCCCTTCTGCCATCATCTCCCCCTCCCCAAACCCCTGTGTCATCTAGGGCAGCACTCAGACCTCCAGGCACTGAAAGCATTTAGCACATACTTGAGTGGCTATCAGCTCTGGGGAATGAGGCACATCGAACACAACATACCCAAGTTTTTACCTTTAGGAATTTTAAAGTGACCTTTAATGTGTAGGTTGAGATAGAGCTGCTTTATAATTTCTGTTAATTTTCAGCTTCCTCAAATCATGCGGTATTGTATACTCAGGCATCAGAGTTAAAGGGTTTTCATTGCTTTACAGAAACAGATGTTGTGTGGCTACTAAATAACAGTAATTGTGTGTAGATTTGGGAGCCCATGGACTTGATCCATCAAACCCAATGACAACATTGCTTTCCTCCATAGGCTTATTCCACAGATTAAAAAATGTCAGCTGCCTTATGTATCTAACTAGACACCAGGTTATACTGAAACACTGTTTGGTCCAGTTGCATTGGTGGCATGAGCAGAGCCATAGAACTAACCAGGAGTAGTATTTATTGGTCAGGTAATTGAGCTGTGCCAACTGAATACCATGTGCACATCTCTTTCCAGTGAATATCTCGCTGTTTTTAAGAAGACTGTGTCCTCCCATGAAGTCTTTCTTCAGCGGCTTTCTTCTCACCCTGTTCTCAGTAAAGATCGCAACTTTCATGTTTTCCTGGAATATGATCAGGATGTAAGGCATTTTAGTTCTGTTTTGATAGGCCATTTCAAATGTTTATACTTTCAAAATGTACTAGATAGTTTCTAAAAAATCGACTAAAGTTTTGAAATTTCTTACACAATGAAAACCTTTTTAGATGCTGCTTTTCCTTCATTGTGTAAAACAATTTTGTAAAATTCTGCTTAAGGAAAATTTTGCCTTTCCCCTTCCAAAAGCTAGGTTTCTTTTTAAGAGATTAACAATCCCAAACATCCCTTAATTTCCTAACAATCCCAAACTTAACTAATTTCATTTTAAAGGAATTAAAATTAGTGTAAATTTATTTTCTTCCTGGCTACACTTTTTGTTGAAAGACGACTCTTAGGGTGTTTTTCTTTTTAACATGTTTTGGTTTTTGCTACTTAATATGGATAGAACAGTAATTTTCCCAAGGATTTCAGAGCCACTAAGACTTAGCTCTTTTAGTGAGTCTTTCAAAATCTCTTAAGTCTTTTAGAATTAGATGACCTATCTATGTTGAGATTTAGCCATGAGATGTTTTAAGCTTGGAAGTTAAGGCAAAATTAAAAATACTTTATGCATTTGCCCATACTAATGAAAAGGATTCCTTGAAATGTTAGTCAGAACTTCTTTAAAAGAACCTAGAAAAATACGTATCATATAAGCTGTTCTTTGGAATTTTCTTCCTTTAGCTAAGTGTTAGGCGGAAAAATACTAAAGAGGTGTTTGGTGGCTTCTTCAAAAGTGTGGTGAAAAGTGCTGATGAAGTCCTTTTTACTGGAGTTAAGGTAAGTGACTTGGCTGTTCGTGAAAATTTTTGACTTAATTGGGAATCTTTTCTTTGAAAGAGATACTTGTGAAACAGATGGTTAACTTACAAGAAATGCAAGCTTTCTTTAAATTTTGGTAATTTTCATCTACTTAATTTTCACCTATTTCCCAAAGCACCTTGTTCTCTCCCAGGAAACTCAATGTGAACCTTTCCACACTTGGCTTCATTTTCTCCTTTTCTATAAGTAGGGAGATTACTCAGTGAATTTCTAAAATAAAGTACAAGATCGTATTTTATGCCGTTCTCAGAGCTACACTGTCCGGTTTGGTCACCAGCTACAGGTGGTAGAGAAGCATTGACGTGTAACCTAGCTGATACAACTAAGTAACCAAATTTTAGATTTTATTTCCATACGGGTTTTTAAGGTGTTAGCACTAAGATAAGAATACAAAATCTTCCTAACATTTTCATTATCCTCACAGGAATGATTTACTTGCTTACTTCTGGGCCTTCTCATTCCTTTGTAACTGAGTTACCCTTACAGTTATCATCTGTTAGATCTGGCTTTGCCACTCCAGGGAGCCCAGAATACAGGTGCTAAGTAGAGAAGGCATCGTCAGAAATTTGGAAAGTCGGACTTAAACTTGGTGCAGTTTAAGGTGTCTGGGACTGTCCTGTATCCAGGCATTATGGGATGTTTGGCATTGACATCCTTTGCCAGTGTCTACCAGATAATCAAGATTTCCTCTCAGTCTGAAAGCAACCAAGTCAAGAGGAAAAAAAACTCATTCTCACACAGATAGGTATCAACAGCTAAGTGGCCATGTTCCACCTGATAGAACCATTGTACTAGTGTAAAATTGCTGGGTGTTAGAGAGGATGCCAGTTTTGCTGGTGATTGTTAAATGGTTCTTCTGTATACATTTTCTGCCAGCCCTTGGATTTTTGCCAGCCTTGGTTACGAAATAGTATCATAAATTTGTAATTCTCTCATCTGTAGAGGTTAAACTTTATATTCATGTTTATTTTTTTTTCTTCTAGGAGGTAGATGACTTCTTTGAACAAGAGAAGAACTTCCTTATTAACTATTACAATAGGATCAAAGATTCTTGTGTGAAAGCTGACAAAATGACCAGATCTCATAAAAGTAAATATCATTTACCATTAGTAACTTAGAGCTTTGCTGATGAGCCTGGCTGTTGTTTGGATAAAAAGAGCTGTCCTTGTTTCTGCAGATGTTGCCGATGACTATATCCACACTGCAGCCTGCTTACATAGCCTGGCTTTAGAAGAGCCCACAGTCATCAAAAAGTAAGTTTTTTTGGAAAAGCATTTCCTCTAACTTAATTGAAGAATGCTAAGTGATATAACTAAAAGCATAAATGAGTAAAGACTACCATGGTTTCCATCCTGCTCTGGAGTTACAAGCTTGCTAAGGCAAGTCTCCAGCACTCATCTTACATGTTCTCTGTACATAAGACGCTTGTAAGATAATTGTAGGGGACTTGGGCTCTTCTATATATAAATAAATATGGTTAATGTGGTCCAAGCAGTAGTTTCTATCACACTTAAAAAGCCTGTTTGCTTTAGTTTTGGGGGTTGAGAGAGTTTACCTGGTGATTGGTGCTTGCCATTTTGCCTGGTAATGCCCTGGACTACCTTTTTGGGCTGGGCTGCAGCCCCAGGAGATCCTGAGATCATGTGCCTCTGTCCCTGGATCTTGAAGAGATTTGGTTGTGATGGTCTGAAGAATAATGTAATGACCTCAGTCTGATAGCCAGTTTGATGCACAATTTTCTGAAATTACATTCATTCATTGAATTAAAAATCTTTCTGTTTTCACTCTTCACTTATGTATGTGTTTCAGTTTCTCCATCCTGGGCATTTCTAGTGTAAGGCAATATTTTACTTAACATCTAGGCTTGGCAAAACAGGTGATACTACTTGTGACTTGAAATTGAGAGGCTAATGGGAGAACCATGATGAATTAATGTATTTACTGCTTTGGGATGCCCATAGCAGAGCTCATTAAACCCAACCTTAGTTAACACAGCATTGGCATTTAATAAGAATATTTGGATACATGGCAGGATAACAGAAGGGACACCAAGAGGCTGATGCCACTGAGTGTGGTGCTGTAAATGTGTGTAATTTTGTGACCATTATCTCTATTATTTTGGGCCGGTTGAAGTGAGAGCACTACTTTTAAATTAATGCTGAAGTGCCAAAGGCTAGGACTCCTGAGTTAACCCATTCATGTCTTGCACACTGGTAAGAGCATATTTTATAGGTGATTTAAGACCTTAAGCCAAAATTATGTGTATACTTCCAGGTACCTATTGAAGGTTGCTGAGCTATTTGAAAAACTTAGGGTAAGGATTTTTGTGTTGGTCTTCATAATGTATATTTTATAATCTGTAGCTTTCTGCCTTGATGGTGACCGTTCCTTTTCTATATAGAAAGTAGAGGGTCGAGTCTCATCAGATGAAGATTTAAAGCTAACAGAGCTCCTCCGATACTACATGCTTAACATCGAAGCTGCTAAGGTAGGAAAAGAAGTTGCTTAGCTTATCAGAGCAGTACAAGACAAGAAGTCTGTTTAAAAAGTTGCTTTATGCAAAGGGGAAAAATAAAAATTTATCAGACTTGTTTTTATAAATGACATCTAATGTTGTATCCTTATAGGCTTGTATATCTGACAGTGCTGTAGGGGTTGTGTGGTGTAGACAGGTAATAGTTTGGGATATTCTAGGTCATTGATGTGGGACGTAACATGCAGAAAGGGCTACTTCTGGGGCAGAGAAGGTTTGGGAGTTTTTATTGAATTGCAAGTATCCCTGTAGCCTTTGAGCCGTGAAGCATTGTTTATAATATATATAGATAGATGAAGTGGTAAGCAGACAGAATAATCTTTGGAAATGAAACATGCATTCTTCACTGTCCGTAATGGTCTAAACAAATGTGTTTTAATTTTATGTGAAATGTATTAAATCAGGCTAAATAAAATTAGATAGGCCTGTGGTCCTGAAATGTCATCAGAAAGTAAAAGAGTAAAAGTTTATTTGTTCCCTCATCATATAATTTTATTTTAGTTAATTTGCCCTTTGGCATATTTTCTGAATCTTGGAGTTTTTAAAAACACTGTTTTTATTAGCTTATTTTCTACTTCCATGGAATTAAGAGGTCACTAAAGAGTTTTTGAGTATATACAAAAATAGGTCTAATAGTTTCACCCATCTTTCATTATTTCACCTATTTTTAAATGTATAATCTATACATCATAATTGCTGAATTTAGATACTGAAGTAACTTCTACTTTGTTGTAAGATTGCAAAGAGGCTGAGCGCAGTGGCTCACGCCTATAATCCCAGCACTTTGGGAGGCCGAGGTGGGTAGTTCAAGAGTTCAAGGTCAGGAGTTCAAGACCAGCCTGGCCAACATTGTGAAACCCCATCTCTGCTAAAAATACAAACATCAGCTGGGCATGGTGGTGCGTGCTTGTAGTCCCAGCTACTCAGGAGGCTGAGGCAGGAGAATTATTTGAACCTGAGAGGCAGAGGTTGCAGTGAGATCGCACCACTGCATTCCAGCCTGGGTGACAGCAAGACTCCGTCTTGGAAAAAAGATTGCAAAGAACCATTATATCTGACTAAGTGGATCTCCAGGGTAGATTACCAGAAGGAGCAGGATTTGCAGGGTAGGGTTATGTTTCTTGCTACTTCGTTGCCCAGTTATATTTTAGCAGCGCTCAACTTGAGTTACCCAGAAGTGACTATGTGTTTTGATACAAAAATATTTAATTTTTAAAGTTACCTTTATTTATTGAATTAACTGGAAAAAATAGCCCTTCTGTTTTTACTCTTGGGTAGTCACTTGATATAAGGAATTCTAAAAAAGCTCTCAACAAAGCTATCAGTGTTGCTCATCCTTGCTGAAGCTGGAGATTTAAAAATAGGGGGAGAGAAGGTGTAGAGGTAGATTGTTACCACCTAACATCTCAGGTGGTACATTGTCACTTGGGCAGTATTCTTTAGACTGGTTTAGATATTTTAGTATGTATACCTGTTAATTTTTTTTCCCAGGATCTCTTATACAGACGCACCAAAGCCCTCATTGACTATGAGAACTCAAACAAAGCTCTGGATAAGGCCCGGTTAAAGAGCAAAGACGTCAAGTTGGCTGAGGCACACCAGCAGGAGTGCTGCCAGAAATTTGAACAGCTTTCTGAATCTGCAAAAGAAGGTCGAGCAGAGACATTTTTCTTTCTGTACTCTTATTTGAAAATAACTTCAAACTTAGAAAATTTGCACAAATAGTGCAAAAAACACCCCTGTATCATTCACCCAGTGTCAGGACTTCATGCCATCTGCCTTATCACTTGCACATGCACAGTCACCCTCATGGCTTTTGTGTGCCTACAAACATTGCACACCTGGTTTTTCTGTACCATTTGAGATTAAGTTGCGTACACCACACTCCTTTTGGCCCTAAAAACATTGTCGTATATTTCCTAAGACTGAAGACATTCTCTTGTGTGGTTACGGTACACTTATTTGATGTGATAAACTTAACTCTAAGACTACAGTCTGCCGTCTGTATTCTCATGTTTGTCCTGATGTCTACAAGATCCAGTGTAGGACTGCATCCTGTTATCTATTAGGGAATGGTTCTCAGTTTTTAACGATAGCAGTCTTTTTAGAGAATCTCTTTCCAAATACTGTATTTCTCACTTTTGGCTGGCTTGTTCCTAGCAGAAGTAATAAGCCTTTCTTGGGGTGTCACTTCTGAGGAAACATTGTGTGTCTATCTCCTTCATTTATAGTGGTGATTTTGATTACGCAGTCAGACATTATCCAAATCCAATTTCTCCACAGCATAGTTAACTGTTTTAACCTGCATCAATCTGTGGTAAGGCAATTTAAGACCATGTAAATATCTTACTCTTCATCAAACTTTCTTCCTAGGTTTAGCATGTATTGATGATTCTTGCCTAAACCAGCCTTTACTCTGATGGTTGCAAAAAGACGATTTTCCTCATCTCCAGCTCAAGCTGTCCTGCCCAAGTTGACACCTGGCATCCTACTACAAAAAGCCTTCTCTTTTCTCAGAAATGTCCATTATCTTTTATTAGAGTCATGGATTTTTAGTTTTTAAAATGGTTTAGAATTTATTGTACTACTAAGTTATTTGACGCTTGTCCAGACTTTGCCAGTAGGAGCACCGTTAAGCTGGCATGTGGGCGTAACACCCCATCCTCCATTTTATTTAGAGCAATAGTTTATGCTAATCTTATTCTCTACCCCAGCCTTGAAACTGGCCATTTCTTCAAGGAGCCACGGTTCTTTTTCTTCAGGAAGAGTTACTAGCATCTGAGTATGCTCATTGTTTTGGGGTATCTCTGCCTCTGTGCCTTTGAGTGGACTGAGCTAGGAAATGTATGTGCGTGTGTACTTGCATGCCATTGCACACACATGCAAGTTTCAGAGATCACAAGTCTGGTCCATGTCCACAGGGTTCTTGCCTTATCCATTTCAGTTCTCTGAGCAGAGGGCTTTCACCATTTCCATTGAACATGCGTTTCATATGTAGTCCTTACCCAAGAGGATTGTGTGGATCTTCCCTTGGGTTCTCAGGAGCCATGGAACATGCCAGAGCAGATGTTGGAATTGATTGCCCAGAATGTGACTAGTTTCATGTTTCCATGAAAAATTACTATCTTTTGTAGCTTTCTGCAAATTTTTCTTATTTCCCAGTGGTAGGGTAATCTGGAAATGGTCTATTCATCAATATACTTGAAGCTACCTGGGGTGAACATCGACTTTATATAGAGTTGTAATCATTTGTCTTTGTCTGTTTGGGATTATAATACAGTGAGTGCCTTAACTGTAAGGCACAGAGCTTCCTGGCAAATGTGTAGACAGCCTCTGAGGCTGTCTTCTGTATTCTTCCAAAGTAGCCTTCATGCTACCCTGTTCCTGAAAAAATGACTGCTTTCTTTGTAAAACTAACTTATGTTTTCAAGAAAAGTACACACTTCAAAACTACTGAGTTGAAATCTTACAGGCTAGTTTCATGGCTCTGGCAATTTTAGAGGAGATTAAAAAACAAAGCTTTAAAAAGATGCCAATTTAGGTCTGTCTTTACTGCCTAAACTTTTTGCCCATGTTGATTATATCCTCTATTCAAAAATAAGATAGGTATACTGTCTAAAAAGTATAAAGTTCTGTGGAATGCTGAGATTGGTGGGTCTTAACCTGTTTGCCTTTAGTACAAGTGCTTTCTGAGACTTGTAGCTCAGCCGACTATAGCTGAGTCAGTGGGCAAGGGCTGGTTTCACAGGCGGTGAATAGTTAGCGTATGGAGCCCCCGTATGTGTGTAGGTCTAGAGGAAGGCAGGGAGCTAATAAAGGAATTTGAGCAAGGCATGCATATTCTCTGTTTGTTTTAATTTCCAATAGGTCTTTAATCCTGAATTCTGTTGGCAGTAGTAGGTGAAAAGGAAGCATGTCCTGTCTTGAATACAAGTAGCAGTTTTCACAGTTTTGGATTTTAAGATGTTTTAAGTATTATTTTTAATCGACAAGTTATTGTATTGCCTTTATGGAAATACAGTGTGATGCTTTGATGCATGTATATAATGTGAAATCATTAGATCAAGGTAATATCTTTTTCAGTGGTAGTGCATTTGAAATTTACTGTTTCAGTATACATTTTTTACTATAGTCGCCTGTTGTGCAATAGACATCAAAACGTATTCCTTGAGTTTAGCTGCATCCTTGTACCCATTCTCTTACTCCCATCTGCCCCAGCACCCCACCCTTATCCTCTGATAACCATCATTCTATACTCTACCTTTAGGAGTTCAGCTTAAGATTTTACCTAATAAGTCAGATCATGTAATGCTTGTCTTTCTCTGTTCTGGCACATCCATGTTGTCCCATATGACAGAATTTTGTTCCTTTTAAAGGCTGAATAGTATTATATGTCTGTACTACGTTTTGTTCATCCATCAATGGACACTTCTCGATTGATTTTGTATTTTGGCTATTGTAAATAATGTTGCAGTGAACATGGAAGTACAGATATCCCATTGAGGTAATTTGTTACATTCCCAGAAGTGGGTTTGCTGAATCATAAGGGAGCTCTGTTTTTAGTTTTTTGAGGAACCCCTATACCATTTTCCATGATGGCTGTACTAATTTATATTCCCAGCAATGGTGTAGAAGAGTTCCCTTTTCTCTGCATTGTTGCCAACACTGATCTTTCATCTTTTTGAGAAAATCCATTCTAGTAGGTGTGAGGTAATCTCATTGTGGTTTTAATTTGCATTTCCCTAATGGTTAGTGATGCTGAACATTGTTTGCGCGAACCTGGTATGTCTTCTTTTGAGAAGAGTTGTCACAAGCCATTGGTGAAGCATGTGGCTCACCATCACCCCTTTTTCAGCCCTGTCCCCAGTCACTGGTACTTAGAGGGTGTGAGTGACGTACATCACATGTTCAAGAATGCCATTTGGTAGTTAAAGTGACCATGGAAATTGTTAAGTTTTCCTTTGTTTCATAAACATTTTTTCTTCCTGTAGAACTGATAAATTTCAAACGGAAGAGAGTGGCAGCATTTAGAAAGAATCTAGTTGAGATGTCTGAACTGGAAATAAAACATGCCAGGGTAAGTTGTTTCCCAATTTACTAACCCAGTGTCATCAGGCAGTTGGGGTGGCCTTGTGTGTTATTAATCATCTGTGGTACTTAGTTGATGGGAGACATTCATTGTTTATTTGTAGTCTCATTTGTAATGTTACCCATGACTAATTTTTAGCAACTTTTTTTTTTTTTTTAATGGAGACGGGGTTTCACCAGGTTGGCCAGGCTGGACTTACTCCTGACCTCAGGTGTTCTACCCACCGGCTGTGGTCTCCCAAAGCTCTGGGATTATAGGCCTGAGCTACCTCTCCCAGCCCTAATTTCTAGCAACTTTTATTGTCTTTCCAAGGCCTTCGCCTTCATAGAACAATTCACTTACATAGCATCTAAGAAGTTAAAGTAAGCCAGGATCACATTTGGGAGCAAGCAGGTGAGGGCAGATGTGCTGAAGCGAACGTCAGCCCTTGGGCTGGTAGGTTTATCCACTGAGGGAGAGGAGCTCTCCTGCGTGAAATTGTTATGAGTGGTACTTTGCAGTTCACCTGGGATTTAATGAAGAGAAGGGCCAGCTCACTCTGGCTGACTTTAAATCTCCCATGAAAAGCTATGTTGGTAGACTTGTGTTGTTACAGGTATATGGCAAGTTTTAGTCATTCATTGGTCTGCCTTGACTTTTTTTCCCCACAGAACAATGTCTCCCTTTTGCAGAGCTGTATTGACTTGTTCAAGAATAACTGATAAGCCTTCCTTCTGAAGAAAAGAAATGAATGTGAAAGAAAGCCAAGCATCACTTGCACTTAAATCATTACCACGGAAGATCTATTAGCTTCAACTTTAGTTTAAAATTATGTGAATAAATATTTTGATTTCTACAAATCTTAACATTTAACCATGTTGGTTTAAAAATACTGCTTGCTACTTGGACATAACTAATTTTTCCTTGTGCATTTAATACCTCTGGGCAGAATCTGAATACTGGGTTCTCCTGTAGTTCATCTTTAGTTAGTTACTAAGAAAGGATATAGGAGACATGTGCCTTCTGGAAACAAGTAGAAGCAATCACCTGGGCCATGTCCCTACAAACCCATGAATGTCAGGGAGCCAGTTACAGCAGGAGATTCAGCTACTTGAAGCAGGTGACAGACCTTCCATTCCTCACTGAAGATGGGGTTTGTGTTTTTGTTTTGCCCCCGGTAGTCATCTGGTGTTCGCACTGTAACAACAACAAGAAAATTTATCTTTATATACTCTTGCACCTCCTTTTTTGAGATACAAATATTTGAGGGGAGAGAAGTATCTACGGGCATATATGGAAACAATGTGGTCAGATCTACATTAGGAAAGGTATGAGCTGCCTCTCTAGTGGTCATGGGGTGGGCAGGGGGTGGTGTATGTCTTTGGGCATTTGTTTTTTATAAAAAGTATATAATAAAATAATCGTGCTACTAACATATGGCCTGTTTTTGTGGAAACCAAAGCCAGGGTGTGTCCCAGGAATGCAGATGGTGCTAGGCTTTGGCCGTGGTTATAGGACTTTCGGGGTCTGCCCAGAGTCCTGAGGGGTCAGGGGGAATTTGTCCTAATCTTAACATTTTTGAATATTCCAGGCCTTCAGGCCTTTTTTATTTAGATGGTCTCTCAATCTCTGTTTGTCTGTTTGCTCCTGACCTGATGGGGGTTTGCATTTTGGCCAAGCAAGGGGCTTTACTATAGGGTAGTGGTCCCCAACCTCAGGTCCAAGGCCTGTTAGGAGCAGGTGAGCCAGCATTACTGCCTGAGTTTCACCCCGTCAGATTAGCGGTCAGATTAGCGGTGGCATTAGATTCTCGTAGGAGTGTGAACCAGAATTGCAAACTGGGCATGTGACACATCTAGGTTGTGCACTCTTAGGAGAATCAAATGCCTGATGAGCTCATGTGGAATGGTTTCATCTGGAAACCATCCCTTTCCACACCCAGCCTCATCCACAGAAAAATTGTCTTCCACGAAACCAATCCCTGGTGCCAAAATGCCACATCTTTAGGAGATGTGTCTATCCTTTGTTGAAGACTGAGCATTTAGGGTGGTAATCTGCTTTACATGTGTAATAAGTAACTCGTGAAAGAGCATTTGATACTAAAAACATTTTACCCACTACTTTTAGCATCTGTTGTGTAACCAACTGGTATGAGGTTGGCAGAACCGATTTCAGTACCATAGGGAACGTGCTTCTTAACATTTAACTGGTCTTCATCTGTTGCCTCCCCAGCTGTTTACAGGTGGCCGTAGTGCCTTCTACCTTCATAGTACATATTGGGAAACGGTGCAAAAAATGAGTGAATTTAAACTCAGCATGTGTAACTTCAGTCTGGGCTAACCACTTCTGTCCTTCCTGCTCACCTGCCATAATGTCCGCACTAGCCACCTACCCACTCCCAGCATCCTGTCAGTGTGGAGCCAGTATTCCTGTGGTCAGGTTTCTGGGTGCTTGAGCATCAGTGTGATCAAACCTGATTGGAGGAGCTCTGGCTGTTGGCCTTGGGGCCTTGATGCATTTTGTTGAGACTAAATCTTGTAAAACGGACAGCAGAGGCATGGATCTGAGTCCTGGCTCTGCTGCTCACCAAGTGATGTGAGCTGCCTCCCTCAGCTGACTGATTGGTGAGCTGGAGTCAGCACTTATAAGGCCCCTCAAATTTGTGTTACGCTAGCAATCACTTAACAGCTTTAATCTGTGGCATAATTCTAGATGTTCTTTACCTTCTGCGTTTGTTTCAAGGCTTGCTTTAATTACACCTGACATACTTGTTCCATCTCAGTTTTCTGGGGTCTGTTTTTCTCAATATTTGTCTTGCACACCATTGTGAGGTTTCTTTGTGGTAATGCCAGGCTCAGCTCTGTGAAGGGTGATTTCTGTTTGGAAGGAAACCTTGCACCATCCACTTTCTGCCTGTAGGCGGCAGGGGTGACCCAGCACAGCCACCTGCCCACCCACAGCTGAGCAGGAGCCTGGCATTCCTGCAGAGCTGCTCAGGTTATCAGCGTATAGCTAAGGTGGCAGGAAGAGAAATGTCAGGTTACCTGAGAGTTAAGTAGTTCTAGATGGTATCTTCCCAGACCAGCAGTCCTCCAGGATTCCTGAGGGCTTCAGGTTCCTGGTTACCTAAGACACAACCTCCACTGCTGAGGCCATTCTGTTCCAGGAACTCCCCATCTGTCACAGACAGGCCATGTGATGTGCCTGGAAGGAAGTTGGGGGACAACATTTAGGCAATGACTGGTTACATACTTTGGACACAGCTGAGTCTGCAAGGTCCAGGGGACCTTCCCCCATCAACTCCCTACACATACACAAGGTGCCCCTTGCCTGGGTGGGCTGCCCACCATGATTTTTTTCTTTTTCTTTGAGACAGAGTTTCACTCTTGTTGCCGAGGCTGGAGTGCAATGGCGAAATCTTAGCTCACTGCAACCTCACCTCCTGGGTTCAAGTGATTCTCCTGCCTCGGCCTCCTGATTAGCTGGGATTATAGGCATGTGCCACCATGCCTGGCTAATTTTTTGTATTTTTAGTAAAGACGGGGTTTCTCCTTGTTGGTCAGGCTGGTCTTGAACCCCCGACCTCAGGTGATCCACCCACCTTGACCTCCCAAAGTGCTGGGATTACAGGCTTGAGCCGCCATGCCCAGCCTGCCCACAGTGATTTCTTATTGGAGGTTGGTTTTGTCATCATTCAAAGGCATTGACTTTTTTGGGGTTTAATCTTTATTTCTAATTTTAAAAGTAATACATGTAGGAAATTAATGAAGTCCCCACATCTCATAGATAACAGTAAAATACGACATCTCGTAAGTTATTAAATGTTTGTAGATTTTCCTATCCATATAAGAATCATTTACAAAAAAACGATTCAGGATGCCAGCATTGGGATTAGATTCTGGAGTTTTTCTTTTTTTTTTTTTTTTTTTT